CGGCAATGAAACGGGAAGATTTCGTAAATAATTTTATTATCGAAAAAATATTTTTTTTGTAATTAGTAATACCATACTGGGAAATAAAAGAGTAGCCATTTGATATACAATGTTAAAAAACATTATTTTTTGAAAATTACATCTGTCAAATGGCCTCCGTTGACACGTATGCATTCATGGAGTCGAGCCTGGAAGTTCTGCATAACTCTTCGCAGCATATCAACAGGTAATGCTGCAATCTCGTCACGAATTCGTTGTTTGAGGGCCGGGATTGTTCTGGGTGGATCAGTTTCAAACACTTTCATTTTCAGATAACCCCATAAAAAGGAGTCGCAGACAGTAAGGTCGGGAGACCGAGGGGGCCAAGCAATATCCCCGTTTCGAGAAACGACACGCCCTGGGAACAAAGCATTCACCGCATTCATCGAAATTCTTGCAGTGTGGCTTGTTGCACCGTCTTGTTGAAAAAGTGTGTGTTCATTAACTGGAAAGCGGTAGAGTTCAGGTGTGAGGAAGTTCCGAATCATTGAAACGTATCTCTCAGAATTAACGGTAACGGCATTTTCAGCCTCATCCTCAAAAAAATACGGACCGATGATTCCATTTGCAGACGTTGCACACCATACTGTCACTTTCTGAGCATGAAGAGGTTATCCACCCAGGACAATCCCGGCCCTCAAACAACGAATTCGTGACGAGATTGCAGCAATACCTGTTGATATGCTGCGAAGAGTTATGCAGAACTTCCAGGCTCGACTCCATGAATGCATACGTGTCAACGGAGGCCATTTGACAGATGTAATTTTCAAAAAATAATGTTTTTTAACATTGTATATCAAATGGCTACTCTTTTATTTCCCAGTATGGTATTACTAATTACAAAAAAAATATTTTTTCGATAATAAAATTATTTACGAAATCTTCCCGTTTCATTGCCGATAGGAGGGAGCCTCGCTGATTAGTGCGTCAAGCAACATCTCGTGGCTTGCGGGCTCGAATCACTACCCCGGCCTTTAATTCCTTTCCGTGGATGTTCTGAGTGTTGCCTATATCACGCACGTGTATACAATAGCTATTTTCGAGTTCTAAATTCAGTACTGTCACAGAACGGTTCTGGAACTGCGCAAGACTAAATGCGTAAAGAGGAAGATCTCTCAAGCAGTTATGAATAGTCCGTGAACTATCAGAATTTTGCCAAATCCCGAACAGCCTGAACCCAAGACTACGGAACAAAGAAGACAAGAGAAGAGAATATTTGTCAGTAACTATAACCACACTTCTTTCTTATAAAAATTTCACAAAAGTTTTGTACGCTGGGTGTAACTGCTTCAAGTTCATCATGTCAAACGACGATGATGATGACGAATCAGAATCTAAAATGATCTGCATTGGATCCATTTGTCCACTTTTCTTTTAATTTTAAATAAAAAAAACACTCCTCAAACCGTAAAAAAGTAAACAGCATTTCAAGCAAACCACGTCAAATAATTTTAATGACACTGGCAGAAGGAATACGCATGTGAAAAATGAGTTCAAAAAATGGTCCCGGCAGTAAAGCAAGAACTGCTTGAACGATTCTCGAACCATCCTAGAACTGAACCAGAATAAAACGCGAACACCAAATTTCAGTTCTAAAACTGTTCGATAGTAATCCAGCAGAAACCTGAACACGTCGGTTTCCTCTGCGCATGCTCCTGATAGTTCTAGTACATCAACGATAAGAACTCGAAGAAACCAAATATTAACAGGTACATCCCGTCGCTGGAGCTGATTTGTTATATCGGTTACCAGTAGATGGCTCGTGGGCAGTACCGTGTTGATACCGCTGGGATGGCAAAAAGTGTTAAAGGTTGTCAGGCTTCGCCTCCCCACCACTAATACTACTACTTCTGTTTTATACGCAACAGGATCAATATAACGTCTCGATTTCGAACTTTTACATGATGGCAGTTCTTTTATCGCCAGCTGGTGTTAGAAATAATATTTTAAAGTCTTGCAAAAAGGTGTGTCTGCGTTTCCTGACCAATACAATTTCATACCTTTCCTTGCTTCCCCAATCCAAGGAATTGCTTACGAAGTTTGTAACCCTATTTACTTTTGCAATCCAAGCTCGATTTCTTTGATTGCTGAAGGCAGCAAACCTTTTATTTAATAATTCACGAATACAACCATCTCTTGGATTAAATAATAATGACATCTGTCATGCACAAAGCTTCAGTTTAGATTCAAGTTTGTCGAAGAAAGTGCTTTACCAACAAAAACCAGAGAGGAAGATCGAATTTTGGTAAGTTACTAAGTTTGTAACGCTTTTACTTTTGCAACCGAGGTTCAATTTCTTTGATTGCTGAACGCAGAAAACTTACTGTTTATTCATTCACGAATGCAATCATCTCTTGCACTGAATAATAAGCTTTCGACGCCCCTGGTGAGCGTCCTTCCAGACGATTAACTGTCAAATTGATGAACTTCGCTAGACAATGGCTCGCAATGTCGGGAAAACAAACAATTCCTATACACGGAAAGGAGGTGTCAACAGTACTGATTACTTATTCATATCTGCTGTCCTTCTATCTTCCTCGTTGGTGCGTTCATTGTCGGACAGTGAACAAGGCTACGTTGGTAAATCGATGAAAATGTTCATTTTTTCAAATGGATATTTGATTTTCACTGTCGTTTCCAAACGATAAAGTTGCAAAGATGATCGCTGATCTGCTGTAATGAGATGATACCAATGTAAGAATTATTCTATCAAACAGCTACACCGTAAGGAAGCCCGATGGGGCATTTTGGGACAGATTAAGATAAGGAGGGATAACATGCAAAATGCAGATACTCAGTACCTTCACCGTTTATACAGGGGGTTGATTCTCATACCATTAATATCAGTGGCACGTGAGATATATGTTATATCCGAAATCAATGTCTGAGGAGCTCGAGTATTTCTAAATGTATGTAGCTATTTTTTACATTTTAGAAAACCTAAAATAGTATTATACATCATATATCTAACCTTTTTCTTTCTGCGATCTAATCTTGAAAGCTCAATAGTTCCCTACGACGTCTCTTGGGTTCCCCTACTATCAAGAACCCGAAGCGATATCGAGGCGCCTATGTGATTTGTTTTGCATAAAGCAATTAGAAGAATTTCAGCTTTTCTATACAGGGATCTCGGCTCCTGTTATACCCATAGTAAAGGTTAAAAAAGGATAGTTTTAGAGGAAACTTAGTGCATTCGATAGAGATACGATCGGTAAATTGGCTTTGGAAATTTTTATTTAGAAAGAATGTGAATATTTTTTCCGAATTTACTTACTTTTTCAGTTTTTTAAACAGTTTATATCCAAAACTATATTTCAAAATTTTCATATAGAACACTCTTTATATTTTCATAAGCTTTGATGTGATATAAACTTTATGGGACTTTGTACGACGGATTTTTGAGTTAACCGTCTTGTAAACTGCACATTGAGGTAAATTGGGAACATTGTAACACCATTCAAAATAAAAAATAGTAATTTAATGTACCGTGTAATGTTTACCCTCCTCATGATATTGGATAATTTATTCTCTGTAATAACCAGCAACCGAGCCAGTACAAGTAGAACAATCCATTAGTTTCTCAGCCCTTAGTTTTAAGTACCTGCTTTCAGGATATCTCTGCCGATATATCCAGAATGCAAGAAGGCAATTTTTTGAACTTTAACTCCTGTTATTGTGACGAAGTGCCTGTTGTCTTTTGTTAATAAAAATTAGTACAGTTTTTGTACTTTGATATGCAATTCACAAAAAGCATGGTAATAAATCACATTGTAGATAAAAAATGTTTTCCAAATCAGAAGCACTCTTAGCTTTTTCAGATAACATGTGTTATAATGGAATTCTGAACTGATCACTAAAACCAAAAAACCACTAAAAATACAGGGACACCTTGAGTGTTCGGCTTAATTGCATAAGGTTGAGTAGATTTAATAAGGAACATATACATGGTGTTCTATTCGAAAACTTTGAGAAACGTCATTTTGCGTTCTTGACCACCCCATATAAACAATCCAGGAAATTTAAAAAGTGAGTGTTGCAGCTATAATAGTTGAGGAGGTTCAAGTTGTCAAAGTTGAATGTTTTTTCGGTAAACTGTCGGATATACAAAAAATTTTAAAATAAAACGCTATAGTATATTAGAGGAAAAAGGGGGAATATGGCAACATAAATTTCTTACGTTCACATTCTAACAAGCAACTGACTCAGCTGCAAGGCAACGGTGGCATCTTAGAGCGTGTACTATATGTATGGGTATGTGACGTGAAACGCTCGTTGCCATATTCCCTCATAAAGAAAGATTAGAAACAAAAATGTTGAATGACGCCCTTTGGCCATATTACCCCAACCCATGGGTAATATGGCATCATGCGTTGGGGAATATAGCAACGTGCTTTTCTCGCAAGACATGCGAAAATTTTTGAAATTAGAAAAATTATTTATTTTTCACAACATAAGAAAAATATTAATACAACTCACGAAATAGGCTAATAAAAGCTATATCTCCAGAGCTCTAGAGGTACTTGCTAGTTGATTTAGTGGGACACAATCTGCACAATATTTGTCTGAAGGAGTACACATCTCGTGAACCCAATTATAGCATTTCAAGCATTGTAGCCAATCACATTTGGGACCTTTTTTGTCAAAATAGTATCCATCGCATTGGGCACAAAATTCTGATTCATCATGTTCCAATTCTGAATCTCCGCTTTCTACTGTAGTCACTTCCAATTCACTTTCTGATGAACTGGTATCATCAGTAATCCTTGCATTACTTTTTTTTCACACTTAATGTCTTCTGTGTACCTTTCATCCCTTTAGCGGCTTCTTTTATTTCCTTTTCTTGTTTGCGTTTTAGTTTTGTAGTTTTCTTTTTGTCTTTTTTTCTTTTTTGTTTTGTTTTTCTGCGATTATTTCTGGAGATGTAAGTAGTTCAGCATGTTGTTTCCTTTTCTGACACCCACTTGGCCCAGGCATGACTGGAATAGGCGCAATCGCTTCAAATGATGGATTGTTAGTCTTGGAGATTACTGCAACATCATCAATAATATTGACGCCGTTGTTAGGATCATCAGTTTTATTATTGTCGGCATCATCAGGAAAGACATCATTAACGTTTTTTTCTAAATTATCGTTATTGGGAACTGGATCAGGATTTTGCTGAATAAAAGCATGATCTGGAATTACTGTACCATTAAACGGATAAATACCACATGTTCTGAAACCCGAAACTCCGTTTTGAACTGTCGCTGCCTTTCCCCATGCGATATTTAAGAGTGCCGGAAACTGTAGTCTAGTTAATTTGCGACCTGGATGATTATGTATCAAGGTGTTACATGCTTGTGCCCAATATGTCTTTAGAGGCTTGAAAAAGGACCTATCTAGAGGCTGCAACCAATGGGTCGTATGGCTTGGTAAACACAATATTAACACATCGTTACTTGCAGCTAAATCTAACAACTCTACATCCGAACAATGCGAGGAGTGGCCATCTAGAATGAGAAGTACTTTACCTGGCTCCTTTCTTGCAATAAGGTGGTCTTGAAGCCATGTTTTAAAAATGTCTGTCGTTACATAGGCCGACTTTTCATTCTCTCAGAACTCGTGACACAGTTTACAGTTTTGATGCCCTTAGTGACAACAACTTTACCTGGGTTATTGCTTAGTTGCAGCCCAGACTCATCAATATTAAATATTTTTCTCGGAGTGTTTATTAAATCATTTTCTGTTAATACTTTTCCCAAAAGATCAAAGTATCGTCCGCATTCCTCTTTATTCATGCCTTGAGCTCGAGCTATAGACATTCCTTGAGCTTTTCGGATTGACAATTCTTGATGTCTCTGCATGAATGAAACAAACCAGTCATGGCCAGCTTGCTTTTTATCAATATTAAAGTTGTTAGGAATATTATTTTGAACTGCAAATGAAAATGCAAGCTTCTTCACATCAATCGATGTTAGTGCAAACCCATGTTTTTCCATGTTTTGAATATAGTTTACTAAACTCGCTTCATGAACTGTAGTTAAACAAGTTTTGCGGCCTAATTTTTCTTTCCTGAGGTTTCCAGATCTCATCCTCCTCATTAAAGTACGGGCAGGAACATTGTATACACGACTAATTTGGCGAACTGATCCTCTACCATTTCTAAGGTCCTCAATAGCATTGCGAAGATCTTCTTCGGACCATAACGCCCTCACATCTTTCCGAACATAAGTTCGAGGCGTCTTGATTATTACTGAAATAAAACAAAAAAAAAATTGTCACATTGTACCTTATTACTTTAAAAATTCGCAACACCCATTTTAGATACGTTTAAAGGATTGTTCCGATAAAAAGAGTTAGGTTAGGAATTGTATTTTGGCATGCTCTTATTAAAGTTGGGTTACAAACACTTAGAACTGATTTTATCACTACGTATAACTTGAATTAATAATATTCTTTAAACTGTCCTTACCTTTACACTGACGATATTCCCTCAAAAACAAATTAATATGATTTCTGAAGGATTCAGAAATAATTGCTGCCTTACACTAATGTGTTAAGATGAACACTGTTGTCAAATATAGGCTTAGAAGAAAAATAACAAACTGCGGCGTATTACCCAGCGCGGCAAATTCCCCCACTTTACTCTATATCAAATTGCGTCATTTGAAATGGCTTATCTGAATCTTCAATAAAATGGGCATTCCATTTAAATAAGAATGGGCTACTACCTAGTTATGAGTCACTCTGTAGAGACAAAAATGGTGCTACAATCTTCACTTTTGTGGATATAATGCACGTTATCGGTCAAACCCACACTGAAAGGTCACCTTGTATATTATAATGATTATGAATACCTTCAAGTCAGCTAGTAATTAAATCAATTTTAATCAATTTTATATGAAAATAATAATTCTGATCTGCTTCTGAATTGCAACACATCTACTGTTACCAACAATGCGAAACCAACACAGAAATCAGAATATCTTGTGATTACACTCTTGTTATAATGGAATCGAGCATGAGGGACCTGACCTCGCTGAGAGTCCGGTTGGACCTTATAATTTGCATATTTATCATGGTTTGTGTACAATTTTGGGGATTTCGCTCCCCCGCTTTTCAGGAAGTTCGAGGGACAGATACTTCCGCTCTTCAAAAGGTTTTAGCGGCAGGTACACTTGCACAAAAAGTTGTTTCTTTCCGATGACAGCCCCCTGAGAAGAATTTTTGCGAACGTCCATGGAAACGTGCCTTGAGGCAGGCTCACCTGACACAAGATTAGTCCCTTAAAGTATTTGTAGAACAATAATTATCGGTTAGCATCTGTAACCCTTTGGCGGAAAATAAAGGATAACTATGGTAAGTATGGTTCAATCTCCGCCTATTTTTCATCTTGATTGATTGGATTATTTGATCCTCATCTGCGATCTATATTAATCATAGCTTATATAATTCATTGTATTTTATTATATCCAGTTAATTAATCGTACACAATAAACTGATCCTAAAAATGAGGAAATTGCCTCCACCCCGATTAATCCAGCGGATAGAGAAAATTGTGGAGTGCTTCTCGAGATTTATTACTTTATATGAACTGTTATTATTTCATAGAAGCTTCAACTATGCAGATAATAACTCATCTAAAATGGCTGAAGTTCCTCTGTTATTACTTAGATACTTGAAGTTTGTGCAATGTCCATACGGAGCTATGGGGCACAATCTGCTTAATTGCATCGTGCATCAAAAAAACTATCAGCGCTAGCAACGCCCTTCTACTTGGAAAGGTTACTTTTAGTTCCAACGCCACTTGCGAGGAAATATTGTGATCGCGAAAAATTTCAAAAATGAAACATAATGTCTTTTGTCTATTTTTATGCGATTCTAACCCTTGTAATTCTGCGCAGCTATTAGACATAGTTCATACATTGATTTCCCGCTACATTTGCTCTTAACACTTGAAATGATAAAAACATTTCAATACTACACTAGACATTTTTAGGTTTCCCAAGAATGCGATAAACTCAAAAACTACCAAACAGATTTTCAGACGGTTTTCAGCGCTTGCCAGGTTATAGGTGAATCATTAAAGTTTTATGTATATTGGCTAAACCATGACAAAATTATATTCCAGCTTATAAAAGTACTACATTTTTATAGTTCACTACGTGATTCACAAAAATACAGCTCAATCAACTATACTACAATCTTAGCGTTTCTTATTTACTACTCTTATCGTTTATCTAAATTTGGCAAACTTTTAGCGTTATAATATCCTTTTCAGTACGAGTCGTTGGTTAGATCAGTTGTATCAGTCTTAATAGTGCGTATACAATTGTAGGAAGCCTTTATGGCCTCCTTGATTCTCATAGTCTTTTCGCTCCTTCAGAAAGGCCAGGATATTTCTAGATTTCTACTGGTCCGTGTCACCGTCAGCGCTCTCCTATTGTCAGGGTATGTTTTCTATACCAATTGTTGGAAATTTCAAGCTGATAAGCAGATGATGTAAATCAAAAGCATGAACAATTTGATGCAAATAGATATTTGTAACATGACCTCAAAATAGAGCTCTGACAAGGAACTGTAGAAAACTATGGAAATCAAGGCGTCCTGCAATTGCAGAAACGACTGATGGTACGACCCCTAGACTTCGTGACATAGGATATTTAAAAGAAAAATGAGAAGGTCACGCTGGAAGACTTGCTCAACCTGAAATGTTACAAATTGGCATTTTAGAAATGGTCGAAGATGATCTAACATAGCAGCTCAAGTTGAAGTTTCTCATAGTAAGGTGTGGAACACAATACGACAAGAACAGTATCATCCTTATCATTATCAACGGGTACACGCATTACTACCTGAATATCATCCTAGAAGAGTTGCATCAAGCCAGTGGCTTTCAACACAGTTCGGCAGAAATTAAAATCTTACGAAATTAATTTTGTATACAGTCGAGGTCACATTTACACGAAATGGAGTGTAGAATTTCCACAATAATCACGTACTTTTTTCCACCTCGACTGACCGGTGAAATTTATTTAGGTTTTCTTCGACACAATCTGCCACAATTATTAGAAGATGTTCCTCTAAATGTGAGACAAAATATATGGTTCCTACATGATGGGGCTGCTCCGCATTTTAGACGAGAAGTTCATGAACATCTAAATAATGAGTTTCCGAATAGATGGATAGGGCGCAATGGACCCATTTCTTGGCCTGCTCGTTCTCCGGACTTAACGTCTTGAAATTTTGTTCTGAGGTGCTATTTTAAAGAGTTGGTGTATCATGATGGAGCAGTAAATACTCTGGAAGGACTTCAAGCGCAATGAAAATGCTTGTGATTTAATTTGTGGTCCGCCAGGATTTTATTTTCGAAGCTTGTAAAGAGTCGTGAATTCGCTCAGCAATATTCTGGGTCAATAGAACAAAAGGGGACAATGTTAAACAGTTTTTGTAACGGTATCCATTTAACTTGATTATTAATTTTTTTCGACGAGTTCTACAAGCTTCTAAAATTCATGACTCAACTCCAGTTGGTCATCGACCAGTGCCAATAACAGAAAAAAAAGGGCAGCTGATTGGTTATATTTCAAAATTCTTCATATCGGCAAATGACACATAATTCTGACGGATCCGACAAGGCCAGGTAGACAGAGCAGTATATTGTTTTGGTTTTTTGTACGCTACAGATTTATCTTGTGCTTGCTAACAATTATTTAGAACTATTTAGGCCCGTATCGTCAGTCGTCCCTACAATTGTAGTGCGCCTTTATGGCTTCCTTGATTGTCATAGTTTTCTACTTCTCCGTGTCAGAACTCTATTTTGAGGTTGTCACAAACATCTATTTGCATCAAATTGTGCTTGCTTTTGAGTTATATCATGTTTTATCAGCCTGAAATTTACTACAAATTAAAAAGAAAACATATCTTCTCAATAGGAGAGCGCTGACGCTGACACGGGACAAGTGTAATCTAGAAATTTTTGAAGGAGAGAAAGGAGTATGACAATCAAGTAGGCCATAAACGCGCCCTACAATTGTAGGGACGACTGACGATACGGGCCTTAGAGAAGTTCATTAGCGTACAAAAAAAAACACGCTACAATGAACTTTACGGAGAAGGCTTGTTGTTGTGTTTCTGTGATATGCACTTTTAGGAATACAAAATCTGAACCCATGTTCCTTTTCACGTCCAATCCGGCAGAGGTTCTCAACGTTGTATACAAAAAAAATATAGTATCCTTGTATTTTGAAGGCAAAGTCTTGCACAAGCTCATCCCAAAGAAATTCAAGGATACTTTCAGGAAACGCGTTAAAGAAATTCAAATATGAGTACTGTACAAAGAAATATATATATATATATAAGTTTGTAAATCTATCCTTTATTTTTTTATATACGCGGTGTTCGCAAAGGCTCTAACTTACATGGCGTATAAATCTCAAAAAATAAGCGGTTCTTCTTAGTAGCATATACACCAATGTCTTTAGATTACCGAAAGTCAATAAAACCTAAATCAAACCTAATACGCTTCGGTATCTTGATCAGATCAAAAACGAGAAAGCGCGATGCACGTCAGTACTCAACCGCTTCGAGGTACACCAAAATGACACTCGTACAGCGATGACAATCTTGTCGGTATCATTTTAAATTATGGTATCTTCGAAATGCTACCAAGTCTTCGCGATCGTATGCAGATCGCTTTCTCATACGTTATCATTCAGAGCTGCATGGATTTGTTTACCCTGTGCAAAGAACTAGAGATTTAGAAATGTGAGGTGGACAGTGGCATAGCGGCAGACCTAGATAACCCCAAGTCCTTCAACAGGAAGTCCAAGTTTCCAAGGCTAAAGTGTTGCAACCGCTGCGTGATGATGGATTGTACCCTCACAGCCTCACAAGCTGAGGATTTTGATGCAAATGTGCGTTTTTGTGAGTGGATGTTGCAGTCTATATTAGTCACTGACAAATCAACCTTCACGCGTATCGGGGTGAATAACTTCCGAAATACTCATGTGTGGTGACTGGAGAATCATCGCGTAGTCCGTCGGTCATCATTTTCTTTGAAGATTTCGGCTGGCATGGTAAATGATGTACTTATTGGACATTTATACTCCCGAGTCAACTAGACAGTTAACAGTAAATAGACTTTCTGGGAAACATTTTACGAATGGTGACAACTTCGAACTACTTAATCCTACATTTATTTTTTTTCTACGTTTCCGCTACCATTTCATCTTACATCAGCTTTGTTATGTT